CTGGATCTCATCACGTTACACTCTACGCTTCTCGTAATCAGGGATGGGGTAAAGGATTGGCTCGTAGCTTTTTTTAAAAGCTTCAATTGTAATAAACCAACCATATAATTGGTATACATCCCTCTTCATAAACATAATGGCTGCGCATTCATGTTTACAAGGTATACGAGTTACATCCCATGTACGGCACATGCATATGTTATGGTCAAGATCCACTTAACAAGTTTTATGGTATTGTATGTCAAATAATCCTCTATGGGATTGACGCACATCCAATGGACGCCTATTTTCCTTGTCCTCTTTAAGGATAAGCTCAGCTTTGGGACAAAAAATTCATTCCAATTTTTAGCCATGACTCGTCGCTCATTCATACGAACCATAATTTGTTTACGTATATGCTGTACCAGTTGTAGTATCCATAGAATTCTAGCCTCATGTATCCACTTGTTTAATGACTCTAGAACATTTGATGTAACATGACCATATTTAAAACATAACAGGGAATTCATCACAATTAATAGGAAGTTTTACTGAGCAGGCATTCATGTCTAATTTCATTAGGAAACAACTTAAATAAAATTGGAAATGAACTAGCTTATGTTAAATGACTTATAATTTACCTAATTCCTAGAAAAAATGTGTTTGCACAGTTCTCTGGAGCATAGTTCATGACAATATTATATGCCCTTTCATTAATCAGTTTAATGTCATCTATATAATCATTCCATTCTGTTTTAGTATATTTGTAACAAACTGATTCCAACAGATTCCCCAAAATCTTAGTATCATTTTCCTTTAGTCTCAAATCCTTCAATTTTGACCTGAAATTCTCAACTAGATGTAGAACACATCTAGAGTGTATAGCATCTGGAAAAAAAAATTCTCTAATTGCTTCTCTAACTCCCTTATCCACATCTGATATTATAACTAGCTTATGTGAAGGGTTGTATGGATCTGGCCTTTCATAGAGTATAGTCCACAAACTTATAAAGAGTTGCAATTAACATACAGGAAGTTAGAGTTAACAAGTAACACGTTACAATTAACATATAATTCATTAGACTTAACTTGCAACTAAATAGACTTAACGTCATAATTATAACATAAAATGATAAATAAGTATAAATATAGCCTTTCAGAGAGCATTGAACACAAACCTTGTAAGAACCACTTCCAGTTAATGTTATTTTCCTGATCGCATATGCAATAGGCTAATAGTAATATTGATACGGGTGTATCTTCTCTTCGGAACTTAGCGATCCTCATGGGAGCTTGAGGGTAGATGATTCTCATACTAGCATGAGAATAGGGGTGTCAAACAATATAAGGGAACACAGGAGAAAGCGTGAAACAAGACGACGAGCAGAAGAATCGAAGTACCCAGTTTTCAGCCTGTGAGTCGACTCATGACTGTTATGAGTCGACTCATCAGGTTGAGTCGACCCATGACTGTCATGAGTCGACTCATTGCTGGTTGTTGAGATTTCTCCAGTTTCTGTCGAGTCGACTCATCACAGTCATCCACGTTGGTTTTGGGTCTGGTTATTTACCAAACTGTCATCCACGTTTGTACACCTATATAAAGGATTGTTTTAGGGTTTCTAAATAATCGGAGAGTTAAATCAAGAGAGATTAACTTGTAATTGAGATTTGGAGAGCTTGTTCTTCAATTCTAGAGTAATTGAGATTTGGAGAGCTTGTTCTTCAATTCTAGAGTGAGATTGTGAGAGATTGTAAATTGCATACTCATAATCTAGAGAAGGTATTTTCCTTCGCCCAAAATCTGAGTTATTCTTGTATTCTTAGTAATTTCTCCTCAACACACCTTTGATAATTCCGCGATCAAAGGTGCTCGCACGGCAACTCGTATCAAATATCCCCTGATTTTTATCATATGCTACAGTTCTGAGGAGTATACCTTTGAATCGATCTTTCTGAAAGGTCTCATTCAAAAATATAAGTGGCTGACATCCATGCAAAAACCTATTTATGCAAGCGGCATAGCAAATGAATAGCCTTGTAAACCTCCCCTCATGTTGTTCAACATGAATGTAGCTATCTGGGTTTGTCTTCTTAACGTTTTCTATATACCTAAAATTTTGAAAATTAAGTGTTAGGATTAACATGAACCAAATTAGTCTAAACAGCGTACCGTAAATGAATTAAGTTTGTATATGGTAGATATTATCTTTTACCATCATAATTGATCATAGGACTTATGGGCATCACTATATAACTGCTCTTGTGCTTTTTATTTACCTCACCATATCTTACTATAATCGATCATTAGCCCATACAAACTTAGAAATTTCTTTTGTACATCAATAGGGCGTATCTCTGGCCGAACCTTTAACATGAGTTGTAATTAGGTCGCAACGAATTGTCGGGAGGCTTTAAATTGACCAGCAATGTTGCCCACAAGTGTGATTGTTGACGAAACTTTTGATTTCAAGTCTATTTTTATTTTTAGGTGGAGAGGCAGATAACATCCACGAGCAACTTTTGACTTCCTTAAACCGACAATAAACTCAAATACGCTTTGGTTCATTCTTTTCAAATAAATACTCGAATTTTTTTGCCATAGAATAGTATATTAAAGCCAACTAAGTTCTTTCGCACTGCCAAATCATTGTCCCTCACCGGTTAAAGCAGTGTGCTACCAAGCAGGAATCCTCTCTGATTGGTTAATCCTGATACTTTGAGAATCATTAACCGACCGTGCGGTCACGGGCATAACACTTGTTTCTTTTTATGTAACAAAAGGAGAGATATTATATACAATCATTAAAAAAAGCAAGAAAAAATATAATAAAGAAAAATCCCATGTTTAATAGGGAAATCCTAGGCATGAAGGCAGTAATCCCATGTTTAATAGGGAAAATCCTAGGCATGAAGGCAGTGAACTGAAGATGTCCAAACTTTTGTTGGTGGAAGGTGAGCGATGCGATGATAAATGAGATGGGGAAGAAAATAAAGAGAGGAGAGAGAACGATACGAGGTTAGTAAGGTAATTTACTTAATTATGATCAACTACCACTCCAAATTTGGACAGAATGTAAATGAAGTGGGTAATTTATAACAACTAAAAGGACTTTAACCTATCTATCTAATCTAATGTCTAATCTAATTATCTAATTATTATTATTACTATTCTAAAAGTGTGAAGGGTGTTAAAACTTTTTTTCCTAAAACATCCTCTAATTTTTATCCAAAATACAAAAAGTGTCTTAAACTTATGTATTGATATGATATCCATGTAATTTAGTTCTTATGACATACGTGAAACCATATACATGAGACACGTATACATATATTATACAAATTATGTAAGTCCTTTGTAATAACCACTATTCATTAATCATCAATCTCTTCAAATTTTATAACCTCTCCGTTTAATTAATAGCCCTCAATTTCATGACTCTCATTAACATTAACACTTATTAGTCCTAATATTTATTAATCTTAAGACCACTCATATCCCATTGCATAACCCCCTTCCGCTCTTATATGCATATATATACTTCATCTATCACACATCTATTTTCCAACAAATCCAATCACACACGATCCATAAAATAAACGTCAGCACCAAGTCACATACAAAACTTATTGGAAAATGATAGGGGCACACCCCCAATCACATCCCAAACCACACCCCCTCTCTCATATGCTACAGTACACCGGGCTCCACATAGGATTTTAAAATCCTATGTGGGACCCGGTGTACTGTAGCATATGAGAGAGGGGGTGTGGTTTGGGATGTGGTTGGGGGTGTGCCCCTAGTGCCACCCAAACTTATTCAAGGTTAAGGAAGTTGAAAAGAAGGGAATGAAAGACAGGAGATACCATTGACAGGGCTTTACAGATCATATTGAATCTTTTATTCAATGAAAATATGACTTGTTAACACGGAAAGAGGGGTACATCATAACTATAATTTTTTTTTTCAAATTCATGTTGTTAGGCGAAAACAGAGCATGCATAGTTTGTGAATTTATGGACTTTTAACTACGTGGAGCAATTCCTCAAATATAGATATAAATAGAGTGAGAAGTCGTACATGATGCATAAAAATTATTCTCAGAAGAGGAATATTATGAAAATGAGTAAAATTTTATTTAAATGCTAACACCACAAAGGCCCTGGACAACTCGATGAAAAGGAGTAAAATATACTTTGGTATATTAGCATTTAGCTAAAAAAATTAGTCATTTTCATATATTCCTCTTATAATAACAAAGAATACATAGATGCTAAATAAATGAACATGAACAAGCAAATATTTTTAAGAGAACATTGTATATGCGTTTAGTTAGAAATGCACCTTAAAACAGTTAGTTGTAAAATTTGTAGAAATATGCTCCCACTAGTGGAAAATCATGTATTGTTGACGGGCATTCCCGTCAGCGATAAGTATCGCTGACGGCGTCCCGTCAAGGATACGCCGTCAGCGATAGTCCCGTCAGGGAAGGACTATCGCTGACGGGGGGCCGTCAGTAATAAGTATCGCTGACGGCTATAGTGGCGACGGCAATGCCCGTCAGCGATAGCGAAACATCGCTGACGGGAATCCCGTCAGCGATGTTTCGCTATCGCTGACGGGCATTGCCGTCGCCACTATAGCCGTCAGCGATACTTATCGCTGACGGCCCCCCGTCAGCGATAGTCCTTCCCTGACGGGACTATCGCTGACGGCGTATCCTTGACGGGACGCCGTCAGCGATAGTTATCGCTGACGGGAATTGGGGCATCGCTGACGGGAATATCGCTGACGGGAAGCCCGTCAGCGATAAGTATCAGCAGCTAAAAAAAATCTGGTGATATATACTCAGTTCCCTGTACATATATATATTCCCTGTACATACAAATCTCCAAACGACATTTCACACGCATTCCAAAACATCTCGCAATGATACAATCCAAATTTTCCCAATTAAACCTCTCATCCAATCAATTTTCACAAACAATCGAAATATATACATTCACTTATCACGATAAGTTCCAAATCCACAATAATAATTTTCACAACAAACAATACACACATATCATAAGTTCTAAATCCACAATATACAAACACGAGTATCATAATCTCAACTATAAAGATGTCCACAATATACAAACACGAGTATCATAATCTCAACTATAAAGATGTCCACAATATACAAACACGAGTTTAGGATATAACTCACTAAGATAGGTCATCCGCCCTATCCATGTCATCGTCCGCGTTGCCACTGGCGGATCCATCCCTACGACTCGTGCTCCCAATAGTATCATCTCCAATCTAACAACAAAATAATTTAAATTTAGAATCACATAATATTGTGTGTAATCATGTTTTACATATATAATAAGTATACCTGTCTGCTACTCTCTCCACTACCAGTAAATGCCTTTTGAGTGGCCAAGAAGTTCATAATCTGGCTTTGCACCCGAGTAGGAACCCGCCTTCTACAAGATTTCATTATTTGCCTAGAAACCATCGCAAAAGTAGCAGTAGGCTGGATCACTCGCATAAGCTCCTCTTGAATATCCTCCCACATCTCCTCGGGAATCTGACCATCTAACATACTCATCACAGAGGAAACAAGCTGCATCGCCTGCTGAGTGCAATCCTCCTGCGGCATGTAAGAGGGCCCCGATGGCATAGTCGAGGGTGTGGAAATCGGCGGAGGCTGGAATTGTGTAGACACCCTCTGAGCTCCAACTCCCATCCACCTGGTCCTCCCTTTTTTAGGAAGTCCACAAACTAGATGGCTCACATTATAATTCTGCTCTCTAGTCAGGGGCTCTTGGCTCTGTGTAACAACCTCAGAATACGTGTTTTCCAGAGCTTCCTAGAAGTCCAAAAAATAAATTTAAGAATTAGCCTTTCAAAAATAAAAGATATTTACCTGAACAAATAAAATAAAAGTACATGTGAAGGGTGTTTTGTGCAACATAAAAGTACATGTGAAGAAGAGTGTTAAGTGCTAATAAATAGTTGAAGGGTGCTTTGGCTTGTAAGTCATTAGAAAATGCCCTCTCCTTTTATGCAGCAATGGCTGTCAAGGAATATGAATTAGAATATGTACCTTCCATCAAACTATATTCTATACATTCAGTTGGTGTTTTCTCAACACATCTAGCTGCCTTGCAGAAATTGTAGCTGTAAAACAGCGAGGTCCCACTTCTTGTAAACCTAAAAATTGACATTTTTGACTGTTTGACATGTCAAAGTCACTTAGAGAATATTTACCTTGTTAACACCAATAATGAAAATATCATATACGGTTGTTTCATGCAAAGCCAAGGTGGTAAGTTGTAAGGCGTTAATACCACAGGCCATGTAGACCAACCAGAACTCATTATCCCAAATGGATTGAATCCGTCGCTAGACAAACCTAGTCTAACATTCCTACACTCATTCGCAAACCAAGGAAAAGTTCTATCCATATGCTTCCACGCCTCTGCATCAGCCGGATGTCTGATTTTACCATCATTAGTACGTTCTTCCATGTGCCACCTCATTTGCTTAGCAGTGTCTTTATTCATATACAACCGTTTTAGCCTTGGTATTAAGGGAAAATGACGCAGGACCTTTGCTGGAATCTTCTTTTGCTTAAGCATAGACCTTGTTGTCCCATGTGTTGAATAATTTTTGCGTTGTACCCACCGTGATACTCCACAAGTTGGACACTCCTGAAGATCTTTGTTATCTTTATAGTAAAGGATACAATCATTAGGGCATGCGTCGATTTTATTGTAATCAAGTCCTATAACAGAAACAATCTTCTTTGCATTATCATAATTTTCTGGTATGCTATCTTTTCCATTTGGAATGACTTTTCTCAGCAACACAAGCAACATATTAAAATATTTATCTGCCATTCCGTTAAGAGACTTTATACGCAAAAGACGCAGTATAAATGATAACCTGGTGAACTCGGTGCAACCCTCGTACAGATCGTTTTCATTATCGTCTATTAATTTTATTATCTGCGCCAGCTCCTCATGATCAGTCATGCCTCCAGCATTTCCTGACTCGTCAGCATCCTCGGCATAATCAGATTGATCTATATATTAGGAACTGTTAACATATCCGCGAGCATCGTATGTGTATCATCTATTCTCGTATCATCTATTCTCCCACAGGAAGTACCGGTATCCGCTATCAGTTCCATTTCTTCAAGACATCCTTCCCCATGAAACGTCCAATATTTGTACTCCTCATGGAATCCTGATATTAAGTGTTTCTGTAAATCACTTTTATCCACCAACGCCCTATTTTTACACCAACAGCAGGGACAATACACGACATCACTATTTAACTTTCGTCGGTCTGCCAAGGCATACTGTATGAATTGATTTATTCCATCTTTATATTGACTATCTCTCCATCTATCAATACGAGGAATATCGATCCATGATTTGTCCGAAACTATCCTCATAGATCTGTATGATATTAAGCATAATTAGGTAATGTGAATTTTTATTAGTAACGCATCAAATTAAAGGTTGCGTGATATTAACTTTCTTCACGACATCAAGGAAATTTTAATTTTAATAATCTCGGAGGGAAAATTACCAGAACATAAATTATGTGGGAGTAAAATCTAACGCTCATATTTGAAATAAGACAATTTAACGGCTGTCATAGGAAATGGACCTATCCCATTAGGAATATAGTAGTGTTTACAACTACCTTTATATACTTTAAGCGTTTTTATTTCTTAAAAATTTCGGCAAAACCTACCCGCAGTTCTCCGAGTACACTGTGCGGATGTTATAATGCGTATCAATCATCGATAATAGATCGATTATAGATCGATACGCAAAACAATATACGCTTATTGTACACGGAGAACAATGCGGTACGTGTTATCGAAATTTAAAGGGAATAAAAATGCATAAAGTATACAAAGATAGATGATACACTACTGTATTCCTAACCTGTACGAGAAGGGGACTCCTCCCCGGACAGATCTAATAATTATTGCATGTATATCATGCTCCTAACATAAATCACGTTATTCTCTTTAGATGTAAAAAGTATTTTCACATCCAACTAGAATTGCGTGAGTTTATATAAGAAGAGATTCACATCCAACATTATTAGACGGGAAACTAGGGGTAACGACTTTCGATTCATAAATCATGATATATAACACAATAAAACTTGTAATTACCACAAGAGAATAAATTAACCAAAAGAGAATAAAGACCCAGAGAGTAAATTAGCACTTAACATTTTTATAATTGTATTGTTCTCGTTTATTGTCATATTCATCACTATACATATCCTCTCTTTTTTATTTATTTACCATATGAAGACGTATTTTTGTCATAATAGTTTTTTTTTAATATTTACAATATTCTAATGATGGATAATTTAGGATAGTTAAGCATAAATATGATAAAAATAATTGGATGTTTAAGTACCATTTAGTCAGCCAACTTATCATACTTGTATTGTAAAAGGACCATGTTTCTAGTATGAAGCTTTTCCTTTTACTTGTGAAATTATGATACTACCAACGACATTTAACTTTAATTTGGTATTATTGAAATATAAAAAATAACCAAATTAGCTAAAAAAATTTTGATTTGTAAATTTAATAAATTTTCCACAGTTAAAATAAGCTGGCTAAAGTATGATGTAACTAACCTTGGACTCTGTAAATTTGCACATATAGTTCTAGTTCTTTGATTATTGGTTGTAATTATACGGTCTATTATGGAGTCTATTTTTTTAATATCGAGATTCTCGATACTACCTGTGTAAATACAATTAGTAATCTCGAGGTTACTCATATTAGTCTTCTAAAAGATATTTAGCCCCTAGCTCATATATTTTGAAACGAGTTTTTGAAAAGTTGATACTGTAAATAAGTTCCTTAAAATCAAATTAGTCTTCTAATTTAAATCAATTAATTTAAACTGACAAATTATCTTTTATCACATTCATTCGTAAATTAAATTAGAGGAACTAAATTTGCACCGTGAAACAAGTTGACTTCAAGCAAAGGTTTACACGATAAACTTATAACCTCTGTTATTTCAAAATTAAAACATCAAGTTGTGACAGCAATGCAATCCAACAAAACGTAAACTTATAAATATCAGCCAGCTTGATCGTTTTATAACTAATTATGTATAATTTCTATACACTAAATTGCGACAATGACCAAAAATTACCGCTTGGATCTCCTGCAATGCAATCCAACAAAACGTAACACTCACTTGGACCTCCTGCACTGTAATCAAAGAAATCAAATCTCAAATTAGTAAAAACCAGCAAACATCGCTGACGGGGTTCCCGTCAGCGATGTTTACATCCCGTCAGCGATGTTTTCATCGCTGACGGGAATCAAGACACGCTGACGGGAACATCGCCGACGGGAATTCCCGTCAGCGATATAAACAACGCTGACGGGAATTTCCCGTCAGCGATGTTCCCGTCAGGGAAACCCCTATTTCCACTAGTGTCCATACTCGACGCAGTTAACATCTATACTCAAATGTGACTTTCATTATTTTCTCATGCAGAAGCTTCTATGATGTCTGAATGAATCAGGAGGTCCTCAGGCATTGTACAGATTGGGAAAGGTACTCATTCATGGTACACTTCCCCTCTTAAGTTTGATGTGGAAATATGCTCAAATTAGCCTCCTTAACATTCAAAATATCATAACACCC